AGACACTGTCTACACATTTGCAAGACAATGAAGTCCAAAATTTCAAAAAACGAGTTTTTTAATTACATTAAATGTTACAACAGGGATCCCCAACAAGGCACCTATGGGTATTCGCTGATATGTTTCCTAGAACCCACCTTCTTTTTCCACAAAGCAAAATGCCAATACTTGCTTTTCTCCACCTCACTGGAGCAGGGGGCATTTTAGAAGGCATCACCTTTGCATTTGTAGGAGGCATCCATTTGGAAACTCCTGCCTCCATCACAGGGAAACTTTGAACCTTCAAACATTTTGTGACTTGCCCATTCCTCATGGCAGTCATTTTATGGTAGTGCCTGCTACCTGTTCTCAAAATCCACAAGCTAAGTGAGGCTGGGAAACCCTGGTTTTGATTATCAGGAATCTAATGTCAGCATACTCAAAGCCCTTTTTGTAAGACAACAAGCTATACTAATGCCACAGGGATATCACTGCTTGTTATGAATATACAAGCATACTGTTTTATGATTAACATCCTAAAATCCTCCTTTTAGGATTAAACAAGAATCATATCAACAGCACAAAATTGAAAGAGACAGCCACGCATTGCACAATGGCTGATTTGAAGGGAATAATTTCTAGACTGGAGAGAGTGATTTTCAAGCAGGTGTAACTTAGGAATCTCCCAGTTTGGTATTTAAAGCACTGATTAACAGTCATCCCTCCCACTCCCTCACTTTGCCAATAACCATTCTGAATCCTACTCAGTCCTATACCTTGTGACATCTCTCAAAAAAAGAACACTGGTAACATTATTAGCAACTTCCTTTGCTATGTGAAGATATGTCATGTTACAGATAACATGGCTTCTTCTAAGATTGTCTATGCATGCTGCTTGTGGCAAATTCTGCAGTAAACTGGATATATAAAAAGTTTTTTCTGTTTTTTTCAAAGGCCTCCCCCCTCCCATTTTTTTGACAGAAAAAAATGGAAATATTGGGAGTACTGAAAAAAATCCTATGTTTTCTCTTTTAGAATGACTGAATAGCTTTTAAAGACAAGGTAGGCATGCAGTAGACATACACAGCTCTTCAATCCAAGATGTATTTCTGCACCCAGAAGGATACCTAATCTTCATGAGGGGAACATACAGGGCTCTCATTGCTTTTCAGCTGTTGCATATCTTCTGTGACCCTTTTGTCATGTCTTCTGGTTGATCTTGACATCTCTATCAAATCACTGTGACACATATACCCACAGATTGGGGGGAAAGTTGCTTATTAGCCCACCCTGAAGGAGGAAGAAACAAGATCAACAGGTGGTGGAGCAGAAACTGTACCAAGGCCTCAGAGGAAAACTGAAAGTTTTATTGAAAACTTTGCTCTCTCTAACCATAGGACAAAAGTTTAGGTACATGTGCTAAAACAGCATAGGGTGCATTAGCTTTTAGGTTTTTCTCAAGTACTGGGTATATTTGCGATTTTGTTTGTACAGAACTAAAGCATTTGCAACTTTAAAATTCCATAAATATGTCAAATATTCCAATTTTATATGCTAAGTAAGATACAAATGATGCATTTTATATTTCTAAAGCCATAAAATTAGTTTAGGTTTGACAGGACACTTCTGCTCCCCCCCCCGCCAAAAACACACACATACACACACACACAAAAAAAAAAGTGGGAAAAGGTTGTTTTTCCATAGCTTCAAAATGTCCAAAACTTCTATATCTCTACTAAAACCTCAACTTTACATTTCAACACATATTTACCTGCCATGCGTTTTTTAGAAAGCCACAAAAGAGTTTGACGACACAGAGATGTCTACATACCTACTAGTGCGAAAATACCATTAGAACACCGCCAGGTCCAACCCTGGAGCATCAACAGACCCCAGTACACCATCAGGCTCCATTCACTGATTCTCAGACTCAAATAACTACTCTGGTTCAGTTGGTTGGTGTTAGACTAGCATTTGGGATACGCAGGCTCAAATTCGCACTCTCTCATGGAAGCTTGCTGGGTGACCTTGGGCCCATCACACTTTCAGCATAACCTACCTCACAGGGCTGTCATGACAAGGATACAAAGGAAGGAAGAACGACGTAAACAGGTGTAGGTGACTACTGGGAAGACGTAAATAATAAAACTGAGGGTGACGGGTAACAAACCCCCCCCCCCCCCCGACTGGCTCGTTTCATACTATTTTTCTACAAAAAATGTTTTCTCCTTCAGCCAAAGAATACAGGGAATCCCCTCAAAGCGGGAAACCGTTGGCTCAGCACCCTCCCAGCCCCTCACCTGAACGTCCCTCGCGCCTCTCCGGTCTTGCTGCTCCCAAGGCCTCGGCACACCAACGCGCACACGAGATTCGTCACTTCCGGAGCTCAGCGCATGTCGTCAGCAGAAGAGGTTGGGCCACAGTGAGAATGAATGACCGGGGCAGGCAGCGAGCCAGCTACTCTCCAGACCGGCGTTATTCTCTCGGGCCCCCCAGCGAGCTCCTCCAGCAGTGCAAGACGGCACGGGCTGCGGGAAGAGAAATGGTGGGTGTGTCGATCCCGCTTCGGGGGCGGTGGGGTTTAAGGGGGAAGGGCGTCGCTGGGCCGACAGAACTGTAAGCAATGTCTCTTGTTACTGCTGACAGGAAGTACCCGGGGATATGGCAGAAGAGGCTCTTGCTCCATCAATGCTTCCAGACTGCAGAGCGTTCATTCCCCTCACTGGCGTGCCTGGCAAGGATCAGAAAACACAGGGGACATCCTCTGTACATGCACGTACGGGCTCATGGTGTCCCCGTCCATTAAAATTCAAGCCTGCTCCTTACTGCCTCATAGACCTGCAGTACTTTTGGAAAATCACATTGTAGTGGGATGTGTTGCAGGAGGTGGTCGGGGATAGGGATTTCTATAAACTCTTACAGGACTCATAAGGAACCGGTGTGTGTGTGGGGTGTGTGTGTGTGACCAATATGCTGTGGGAAGCAGACACCTTTTACCTACACTGTATGGGAGAATTTCATAGAAAATTCATACATAAAATCCAAGTGGCTTGATAGGGCTGCTGTTTGAAGCAGGTTGAGCAGTACTTATTTTTAGGAAAGGAGGGTGTAGTTTTGCATCCAGTCAATAATTAGCACCCCCCCTTTAAACTGAGAGTGGGATTTGTGGTGGCTCAAGTGGTTAAGATGCTGAACTGCAGGCTGTAGGTCAGTAGTTCAGCAGTTCGAGATCCGAGTGTGCTGCATGACGGAGTGAACTCCCATCTTTAGTTCCAGCTCCTGCCAACCTAGCAGTTCGAAAGCAAGAAATTGCAAATAGATAAATAGGTACCACTTCAGGGGGAAGGTAACAGCTTTCCGTGCGCCTCGGTGTTTAGTCATGCCGGTCACATGACCTCGGAAATGTCTTTGGACAGCGCTGGCTCTTCGGCTTTGAAATGGAGATGAGCACAACGCTAGAGTCGGATTCAACTGGCTTTCGAGCAAGGGAACCTTTACCTTTACACCGAGAAAGTGCCAAACCCTTAGTGTTGTTCACAAGTTACACTGAAAGCACATACATCCTGCATGTATATGCATACGTCTGTTTGTAACAGACAATGCACATTAACTTTACAAATGAAATCGGGTACAAGGGCCTGGATAAATGCAGTGTTCTAGTAACACACATTCAACTGCATGTTGAATGTGACATGCAGGGGTCTTGTTGTAGAAAAAGAGCTGCCGGAACTCATTAGCATAACTCATTAGCATAACTTATTTGCATATGCCACGCCCCCTGACATCACCGGAAGTGACAGAAGGCCACACCCCCTGACATCACCGGAAGTGTGTCAGAAGGCCCGGCTACTTACCCTCCTGCTTCATCCTCATTCCCAAACGGAATGAGGATCGAAGCAGAGGGCGGGGTAAAGAAGGGGGCGGGGCTTCACCACGTGACCGCCCCGCCCCCTAGAGGTTCTCTTCCGGAGCTCCGTACCTGAGAGCTCCCCCCCGACTAGAGCCCTGGTGACATGAGAATTACTCAATGCACATATACAGAAAAAAACAAGAGTACACTAACTTGTGACCAGGATTCTCAAAGAATCTGCAGGACAGGGAAGGTTGAAGCTGGAAAAGTATACAAGCATCATTTCCCAGCCCCAATCTGCCTCCAGCCCAAGGCCCCCGGGCTGAAGAGAAGCAAGTGGTCATATAGCCACATAGAATGCAACCGGCAAATACAGCCTGTTTGAGGGGTTTTTCCCACTTTGGGAGGGGGAAAACCCCCAGTATTTTTTCATTCCTGAGGTGTCCTGTGCAGAAGTAATTTCTCTTTCCTTAAGGAACCACATTTTGGTATGGCACTGGTTTGCATTCAACTATCCAGAACAAAGTTTGAGACTCCAGTGGCACCTTTAAGACCACCAAAGTTTTATTCAGGGTGTAAGCTTTTGTGTGCATACACACTTCTCAAATGCTTATACCTTGAGTAAAACTTGTTGGTCTTAAAGGTGCCACTGAACTCAAACTTTGTTCTGCTGCTTCAGACCAACACGGCTACCCACCTGAATGCAACTATCCAGTTTGCTTCTGGAATGACAGTATACGAGTCTAGCCACTATGACAGCAGGAACCTATCTGGTTTCCCATATCGATCAGAAAGAGTTCAACCAAACCACCCATACCAATCCTGTATTCAGAAAAGTATCTTCTAGTAACTGTGTCACACGTGCTAACTGTTTTCATTTTGGAGCCTCCTTAACTGAATCTTCAAGCTTGTGATTATAATTTGAGTCAGGACTCATTACGGCTTAGGCCTGGATCCAATTTTCGATACAAGGACTCAGGCTGTAAACATTAAATAGATGTAGAATGCCCTTTCCTCATTGCTGAGTGACATAACCAGGCTTCCCACACCTGAAATTAAAGAGTCTTTAGGTTTGAGAACATGATGTGAAGGCAGACTTCCAACTTTAATACATCTCATTTTATAACTTAAGCACTGGACAAGTCGTAACACAAATCAAAATGGAAAGCAGCCTTGTAGAGCTTAACAGTAGGAGTATGTTAATTATCAAATATTAGTATTACCAATCTTATAAACAACAAATAAAAGGGCCAATGGCTTGAACCACAGTAATTTCATTTATTTTCATCCATTCTTAACATTCTGATAGAATAGTGGGTTTAGTGGAATTGCCTCTCATGTTCTGCCAACATTTCCAAGTACAAAACCAATCAGAATACTATCCTATAAATAGTCTGCACGTAAAAGACTAGGGAAAAATGCCTTGAGATAGGTTCAGCTTTCTTCAGTACCTTAAAGGAACAGGAGAAATGTGAAGATATAGTATGTATTCTTTTTCTGCATTTCTTAAAAATTTACGAACCTGCAGATCTTCACAACAGAAGAATGTGCTGGCAAATAAAAATTTCTGACAGTTATCCACCTCCAGAAACAAATAATCTAATGAATGCAATATACTTCACTGAGGTTACTCCTTTCACAATGTGGTATTGATTTTATTAAAGGAGAATTATATTAAAACATATTAGAGGAAGAAGAATCATGTTTTGGACTAACTCCTTCACTCAAAGTGCTATTAGTGTAAGCTTTTAAAAGGACCAAAACCAGTACAGTTTTGTCTTATTTAAATATTCAGGATGCAACAGCAAAATTAAGGAGATTCAGTTTTATGTCATCCATCCAGACACAATTGTGAATTTCAAAGGATGCACCTGTGGCAATTACTGCAGAAATAAAATAGAATTTTAATACTGCTTATTGACACAATTGGTGGTTGATGAACAAGTCTTTCAATCAAGAATAATACGCAAACAGATGCAATGAAGCCTTTGCAAAACAGCCAAGATGACTGCAATATATAATTAACTGATCTCAGAATAGAATCATAACTATCAGCTCTAACACATCCTTTGTACTGAAAACACTCAATAGCCCTGGAATGTAAAAACAAGCTTCAAAGAACACCACAAATTTTCTATGCCTTAAATTAACAATTTAGACACCATATCCAAATCTCACAGTTTTGAAGGGCAACTCCCCATTACTTTTTATTAAATGCTTCTAGCAAGCGCAGCAGGTGCAGAAACAGATTGATGATATCCAAATAGAGGTTGATTGCAGCCAATATGTATTCTTCAGGAGATAGTTTGTGCATTAGCAGATGAGTGTCATAGATAATAAATCCACAGAACAGAAGTGCTCCTGCAGCAGCAAATACCAGCTCTGCTACTTCACTGTAGAAGAAGATCTACAGCCAAAGAGCATGCACACAAACATAAAGATTTAGTTCAAAATGTCTTCTATAAAAACACATCAGAATCCAATTTAACCATATTATATCTATAATTAAAAATGCGAATATTTGGCTTGCTTACAAATAAGCTATATGCTAAGTAGATACTATTTTCTTGGTCTCATGTATTTTTCGTCATGGTTTCAGTTCTTTTGCTTTCTTGTCAGTATGAGGTTTTGTTGTGTCTTCCTGTATGACTGTCACTACCATATTACTGCTGTTAAGAACAACAGGACTGACTGTGCTTCAACACACGTATGCAATAACCACATTTCTCATTCAGCTTTTATGTGGTATCCTTTAAAATTAACACACTGAAGATTTTCCTGTTTTTAATGACAATCTGCTTCATACTAAAGAGCAAACCTTTTGCTTCTGCAGCATTCAGTGATGACACAGAAAATATTTTTGAATTGCATTCAAAATCTGGGAACAGAAATACAAGGAGTAACAGACACACAAGCCTAAAAATTTTTTAAGAGTGTCTGTCTAAGAACATCTCCCATGCATGCTATATTTAAAAGCCAAGAATTTCCTAATGAAAATATATATTTTTTACTTCGACACTTTAATGTTTTCTTTACTTTTCACAAGACAACAACTACAGAAAGATATCTAATTCTGTGTAATTCTAATATAATTACACCTCATTGCCAATGCTCCCTCTAAGATGTGGAGTCTTGTGAGCAAAATTTCTACTTTGTGAGCTACTGGCATTAAAGTTGTGAGTGAGCGATTTAGCTACTGCATAACTCTGGAGCCATCCTTCATGAGCTAAGAAAAATGTGTGAGCCAGAGGCTAAAAAACTGTGAGCTAGCTTCACACTAACTCAGCTTAGAGGGAACACTGCTCGTTACAGTGTTATCACTCACAGCATGGCATTCAGCTAGGGTTGCCAATCCCCTGATGGGGGCAGGGTTTCTCCCACTTTCCAGCTCCCCAATCTGGCCGGCAGGGGAGCCCTGCGCGCAAAGACCCCCATTGCGTCCAACATGCCTGGCACGATGACGTCACCCAGAGGTGGCACTAGAATCTGGGTAAAAACTCTACTGGTGACCATAGAGTTTTTTAACCCAAATGCTAGAGCGTCCTCCCACATGATGTACCCGGTGCAATGACATCACCTCTGGGTGACATCATCATGGCGTGCACGCTTCTCACACACCCCAGAAGACTCCAGGAGCCAAGCTGGAGCCCCCTGCCGGGACCCAGGTAAGACCTGGCAACCCTACATTTAACACGAGTGATTTATTAACAAACTGATTATACCACAGTTTCCCCCCTCTACATTGTAAACACTGTTAAATGCATTTTGCTAAGATCATTTACATATTCAAACTATGCTTACAAGGCCCAGGCAAGTCAGAAATTAGAATCAATCACCACTAAATCACTGAATGATACTTGGCCTTGGAGCAATGTTCCCTCTAATTTTTCCTCCACTATTGAGCAGAGCAGTTCACATCCTGAGCAAAATATAACTGTTGTAATCTTAAAATGGGCAATGAAAAACTCTATGCAACTCCAGATTGCTGCTGAGCAGGGCTTCATGTGTTAATGAGCAGACACTCCTGCTGCACACAGCTTAGAGGGAACACTGCCTTGGAGCACTACAGAAATGAATACAGGTTGTGCACTGGCAGTTCTTGGTGGACTGAGCTGAAAGGATCAGCAAGAGCGGATACAGCCTCTATCTTATGGTGCCCGTAGGAATGAATGGGGAGTAGTGAGCTTGAAAAAGACATTCACTTGGAAGAAGAACATGTCCATGTGACACTCGTCCGCTCAGATACAATCAGTGGGGCTATATGGGAAGAATGTGGTGCAATTAACTTTCCTAAGAAGTGTGCATATGCCAAAGCTGGCAGTATGATCAAGGTAGGGGGGGGGGGGGAGACTCTCATGAACTTGGGAGAAGGAATGACAACTGTGGGTGGGGAGAAGGAGCAAGCACTTTCCTTCCTAACTTGTCTGATGGTGGCAGCAACAGTGCTGCTGCCACGAATTCTGATGGATTAGCTCCTCCGTCTCCAGTGTTCCCAGTAACTTCTTAGTATTTATGTAATAAATGTCAATATATCTAATTTTCAACATGGCCCCATCTATGGGTACTTAAATCTGGAAACTGGAGCCATGAACAGATAAGATAAATCTTTGTACAAACCAGAAAAAAGCTCCAGGTTTGCAGAAAAATCTGAAATCTAAAAAAAAAAGACAATCCCCCCTACCAGGGGTTTAATTCCCACCTACAGAATAACAGAAGCAATGCCTGTATCTTTAAGAAAGGAGATCTCAGTGACCATTGTAGGGGCTGCTATGCAGCTGCAATACTGGCAGCCTTCAAATCTTGGTTTCTGTCAGTAAAAGACAAAAGAAAGGCCCTTTCCAGGACTATTTTGGCCTCCCAATCCACTCCTGCTGCCCTCCCTCATAGGAAGTAACCACCAGGCAGCTTCCTATCGTGCAAAGGGGCCACAACTGTGGCGGTGTCTACCAGATTACTTGATGCCATACAATATGCCTGGGCCCAGTGGCAGGCAATGAACAACTTGCATGACTTGGTTTCGCCTGGCAGTGTCCACCATACAACTCACCTGAAAAACTTGATACCACACAACTTTTGCAACTTGACCAGACTTTTCCCAGGGAGGAAAAGCTGACAGCCCGTGTGAAGTAGTGGTTAGAGTGTCAGACTAGGATCTAGGAGACCCGGGTTCAAATTTCCACTGCACTATGCAATTTTGCTGGGTAACCTTGGGCCAATCATTCTCAGCCTGATCTACCTCACAGGGCTGTTTTGAAGATCAAATGGAGTAAAGGAGAATGATGTAAGCTGCTTTGTGTCCCCAGCAGTGTTCCCTCTAAGCTGAGTTAGTGTGAGCCAGCTCACAGTTTTTTAGCCTCCGGCTCACACATTTTTGTCTTCGCTCAGGAAGGAGGGCTCAAGAGCAAACTAATTTATGCAGTAGTTAAATCTTTATTTAGCTCACAACTTTAATGCCAGTCGCTCACAGAGTAGAATTTTTGCTCACAAGACTCCACAGCTTAGAGGGAGCTTTGGTCCCCAGGTGGGATATAAATGAAGTAAGTAAATCATAAATAAAGCTGAAGACTGAGGGTGGGTAGCTAGACTGAATTTTATATATGCCTGTGAAACTGTATTTTAAACTATGTTGTACACTGCCCTGAGCCCTCTGGGGGAGGGTATAGAAATACAAATATAAATAAATAAAAATAAAAGAAAGGTTGGTTGGTAAGTGGGAAGGATTTTATGTGTTTACTGTGTTTGTGTGTGTTTGAAATGTTTTAATGTTTGTCCACTTGGGGATCCTGAATCAGGTAAAAAGGCAGCATAGGAGCATGTTTTCCATAAATACTGTTAACATAGACAAACTCTCTAAATGTGCCCTGTTTACTAGCAAACTGACTTAAATGGTTTTGCCTTAATACTAATCGAGAATACAAACCATCAGGCAAACCTATCCAATAATCATAAGAATGATTAAAATGGTTTGGATCCCACCAAAACTTTCTACTGAAGGAAGAATGTCCGTTAGTAGAGTACATATTGCCTCCCTCTGAAGCCTAAAATGCCTTCTGAAATGCTATTCTAAGGGGACTGCAAAGAATGGGGTAGTCCAAAGTCCGCAGAGAGGGGAAGACTGGTACAAACTCACCTACTATGGAGAGCTAACTGTGCATAGGATTGTTCTGACAAAACTGTTAGCTTAGTACATCAATATCTCCAAAACTGTAATTACCTGTTACTATATTCAATATTAATCAAGAACATAACCTCTTACCCTTAGAAAGCCGGAGAGGAGAAGAATCCATAAGCAAGCAAACAGCCTGTGAACACACAGTAGTATGTAAATTAATTTCCTTGAAACTGTGAAAGCTCATTCTATCGTAAATGTAAAAGTACAGGACATCTTAATCTTCTGAATACACAGTATTAAAAAATGTACACTCACACTCTTAACACAGATAATCACAGCCCTAACGTAACCCCCTTGGGGTTTGGGGGGGGGGTGTATGAAATTGGTCAGTTGCCTATACCTGTTATGCAGCTCTAGATGGCTCTCTGTAGAAAGCCCTTTATATTATTTCAGTATGAAACAATAATTTATGATGTCCAAGATTACTCTAAATTTACTGTTTATATATCAATTACATAAAGTTAAAAAAAACATTCCTATGGCTGTTTTAATATGGGTATTATAAAGCAACTTACCCAGCTCCAGCTTTGCTGAAATCCCTTTTGGACTGTAAAGTGTATACAGTGAGAGCCAGAAATACAGCAGTAGTAAGAATAAAGGCTTGCAGAACAATAGATACTTCATAGAAAGTCACTAAATTAAACAAAAAGCAAACAAGTAAATTTAACTTAGACCTCATGCATCATTCATTTGATATCATTACTTGTTTAAATCAAAATCATATGGGCATCACACTAAAATGTTGTTCCAGCCTAAGGACAGCGTCGGATATAAACTACTTATTCTTGACTGTAAACAACCCACGATCTAGGCTTTAAACTTAAAATTAGAACCTATACAAATTTCTACAGACGGCAATGGAACAGTAATGAGCAGGTGTCTGTATTCTTAGGGGACAGACTGTTCTGGTTTGTATATTAGCATTAAAACTGCACTCAGGTCTCCCCTGCACTTTTCTATTATTATTTGTTGTATCACAGAAAAGTGATTTTGTTCACGTTGATAGGAAAATGCTTAATATGGAAGACATTAAGTCTGGCTCCTGTTGCTTGCCCCTCTTCTTCTGCTAAACGAAAACTAAGAAAATGATTCCAAGACTGCTATTCTTTTGTAATGGGGCATGCAAGCAGCAGTTTGCAGCAGTTTCATTTTCAGAGAACCAGTACACCCACAAATAACTACAGGGTGGCATGGGCATGGTTATTGAGCTTAGTCTCCCACTACAGACACTCCCTATGCAAAACTACTCAGGATTCAGATTGCCATGACACTTCCAAACATACAGACTGCCACAGGTGTCCGTAAATGTTGATTATGATCGCCACTGATCTTGTTCCTCCTTCTGGGTTAAAGTCTGTCTCTTTGTGCTAGGCTTTGAAAACACTTGGAAATGGAAGACTTTCAGAAAACAGGCACAGGAGCACCTCAGCAGTCAATTTGGACTTCTGGGACACTTCAAAGCAGTTTTAATCCCTTCCGCAGCCAATGTGAGGTCAAAGATGATTCCCCAATCATCTCTTCACATAGCCCTTGCCACAAAACCACTGGCTGAGGTGTATATTTATGAACTCCTATACTGGCAGTTGCTGCTCAGCTGATAGTAAAGGTTTCCCTTGCTCGAAAGCTAATCAAATCCGACTCTATGGCGTGGTGCTCATCTCCGTTTCCAAGTCAAAGAGCCAGTGTTGTCCAATGACGTTTCTGTGGTCATGTGGCCGGCATGACTAAACACTGAGGCGCACAGAACGCTGTTACCTTCCCCCTGAAGTGGTATCTATTTATCTACTTGCAATGTCTTGCTTTTGAACTGCTCAGTTGGCAGGAGCTGGGGCCAGAGACAGGAGCTCACTCTGTCACACAGCACTAGGGTCTCGAACTGCCAAACTACAGACCTTCTGGTCTAAAGCTCAGTGTCTTAACCTCTGAGCCACCGCGGCTGATAGTTACAAGTAATAAAAATCTGCATTTTCATTTCTTACTGGGATGAAGAGACTACAAAATATGGATGAATATTTACCTGTGATAGCAACAGTAATTGCTTCCAAAAGGGTCTGGAAGGGGGAAAAAAAGGTAGTATAGTTTGCAGTCAACATTATGGCAGCATTACTCATCCATTCCAATCCAATCCAATCCAAAGAGCTCTGGGTGGGCAGAACTGTCTCTGACATTGATGAGATGGGAAAAGCCCAGCTCATGAGCTTAGTGTATGAATTGGAACCAGAATGTGCAATATTTGACAGGTACATCATTTTACAGAATGTACCCCCCAAAACATGTGAAAATTATTTTTAAGGAAGTGACATTAACAGAAATATAGAAAAACAAACAATTAAAACAAAAAGGTATTCTGAACATATTAGGGGTGTGTGTGAAAAATAAAATATATATGGTCAACAACTATTTTAAAAATATTTCAACAGATTTTGAGATTAAAGGTTATGATAGTACTTACAAATCCAAAGAGAAGATATAAATTAACTGGATGCTGATGTCTGTATATAGTTAACGCCACTATCACAGCCAAGGAGCCAAGTAAGGACAACAGAAGTACACCAGGGCTGTAACATTGAACAAAGGACATAAGCAATATTACAGAAATATCAACTCTTCCTATTTTTGTTGTAATGTAAAAGAAAATAAAACACTTGCACTAATAATATACAACTAGTTATTGATGATTTTTTCTTTAAGACACAGGTCCAGAATCAAGTGGTATGAACAAAGTTTGGGGTGGGGGAGGACAAAAAAAATCTGTATAGATCATACAGTTCAAAAAAACAACAACAACACAAAACCATTGTGTAACAAATATTTCATGCATAAGAAATCCTCAAGTCTTAAATCGGTAAAATAAAAAATATATAATATATGTTTATCAAACAGTTTACTGGATGAATGCTATGAGAGAAAGTAAGATTGGATTTATTAAAGGACACCATTAGAGTAAGTGATGTGAGGTTTTTCAGGAACAGAGGTGGGAAGCAGTTCTTAGCGGTTCTTCACTCCAGAGAGTGTTTTCCACACGGTTACCCATTTGTTGCCCAGCAGAAGTGAATGGGTATCATTCACCCAGATATGAAAACAAAAACAATTACATGTAGAAACAATACAGGCAGGACCAAAACCTGCCTTCTCTGTGAATGTGATACTACTGATCCCAGTATTGTGGGCAGCTACTGCCCTCATACTAACAGTGTCCCCAAGAGCAACAACTTACTTTCTGCTATAGAAGTGATCTGGCTCCATTCATCTCTATAACGGAAAGTTACATTAGGGAGAATATGTTGTGACATGGTGTGGTATCCTTGTCCTCATGGCTCAACTTTTCCTACTATCAATGCTGCTAGTTTCCCCTTCATTCCTACCCAGTGATGACTTTTCCTCCTTGTCTCACTGCATCAGTGATGGTGTTCAAGCCTCTGTTGCTGCTCCAGAGGAAAGAAGGAACAGACACTTGTTCACCCTTTGTCATGTCCTTCAGTCAGAACAGCTGTCTATGCTGATGGAGGGAGACCAGTAGTAGCTTCCCTGTACAACCTATGCCAGCCCATCAGTGTAACCCTGTTCTGTATTACAGCAGGTCTACTGAGACAGCATAGCTTAGATCTGAAAGTATAAGCCTGGTGATAAGAAGCTCCTGGTTCACATCTTAGCCCTTTCATGAGCCATTATCTCCCAGCCTCAACATCACTCAGCTATATGGGGATGCTAATGCTGACCCATCTTACCAGATCATTGCAAGGGATACCAAGATCAGAACGCAGCATTGATGTATTACCACTTTATGCTGTACTTTACAGTAAAAGGTAGGAAGAAAGTGCGTATTCAATGGGATTAATTAGAGGAATCTACCTCTCATGTACAAATGTCCGAATTGTGGTGGAGTACAGAAAAACAGCAGCGGTCACGGTGGTCAAGAGAACTTGAACTGAAAGTATGCTGTATACTTTCCGCAAGAAAGCTAGGTAAGAAATAAAAACAACATGTTAGCATGGTTTAATTACTGTTGAATTTCCCTCAAGAAATGAGCAAGAATGCAAACCTAAGAAATACAGAAAAAGGATTCAGTAGCTTCAGTTAGATAAAAAATTGGTTCCTCCATAGACAGCAACAAATGAACCTTATGCTTATTTAGCATTACAGCAGTTGCAATATGTGGACAATGGTAATGATCTGTTCTCCAGTTAGTATATGAAACATTTGTTTACAATGATTAAGTTAAAAACAATCCACACCTTTGCCCACATGGCTGAATTTAAAAGAACATGAATTTGTTTCTATAGAAAAGGCAAAGAGGACATGCCGTTGCCTGACCACGATAGGTCTGAGTTTTTTCATGGTCTTATGAGCAGTTGTTACTTTTAGCACTCCTCCCCAACCGAAACAGAGGGATGTCGTCAGAGATAACCAGGAAGTCTGATATGCAGATGAAGGCTACATATCTGGGGTGGATCCAGCTTTGGGTTTGGAAATACCTGGAGATTTTGGGGGTGGAGCCTGGGGAGGGGGCTCGGGGGTATAATATGTAGAGTCCATCCTTCAGAGCAGCCTTTTTTCTCGAGGGGAACTGATCTTTGATGTCTGGAGAGCAGTTGTAATAGCGGGAGATTTTCAGGAGCCACCTGGAGCTTGGCAACCCTAGTTCTGGAGAGGTTTCGGCCGAGGAGGGAACGGGAACGGACAAAGGCTGGGAGGGGCGGGAAAGCGGGATTTTTTTACCCATGCGGATGTGCACGCTGGCCGAGGCCACATTGCTGCCATAGTTAAAATCGTCCTCGATGGATGTCCTTGGGTAGCCCTCATTCTCCGCAGCCATCATAACTGCGCCCTGACGTTCCGCCGTTCTCAGTTCGATGTCGACGAACCACTTCGCTTCTGGGTAAACTATACAAATAGATCGCAGAGAGCATCGATCGCTCCGATCCCCAGCCTTCCCCCTCGACAAATTTCCGTCTTCCTGCTAGTGGCGGAACTTCCTCTTACGGCGTCACCGCAGCCCTTTGCAGAGGAAGGAGGCGGGATCGGGGCGTTACTAGAGGCTCCTTTAAATTGCATTTTAAATTAAACAGTTTTCAGACGGCGAGTTTCCAGAGGAGGTTTTGGAGGGTGCATTACACAATAAATCACGTTGAACACGCGGAGTTTCAGGACCGGAGTCATTAAGCATTAAGTCACGATCCCTTCCCATTTGTGTCAATAATCTCTATGTACGTGCTTGTAGTAGCCGTAATGGCTAGTTTTGTGTACGGGCGAGTGCTTTAGAGTCGAGTGAAGCTGGACAACTCATTTTTCTTTCCGCCTTAGTATTCCTCATTTATAAAATGGGATGTACCAGGACCATTAAAAACAGGGCTGTCTCGATGTGCTACGAACAAAAATAATAATTTTAAAATGCCCATCAATACCTTTCTTTTGGTTCTTTTTAGGCATACAGCGCATTTCAAGTCATGGTGTACCTGTTATTATGAAATCATAAAAATACAAACGTATGAATTTCTACAAAAACCTTACTGGACTTTGCAGATGCTTTTCTAGAAAATGTAACTGTAGTAGTAGTTACATCTCTTTGCAGCAATATAACTACTACTTGTCTTGGAACTCACTTAGGATTTCTGCAGATGAAACGAAGGGATGATTTTTGCCAAAAAACAACAACACCCTTGTGGAGACCTCTAATTTCCCCCATGTTGATCCTGGAGATACCCTATCCCCTAGGAGCAGCATTTTAGGGAGGGCTGGATTGCTGCAGGAGGAGGGAATTGGTGAAAATTGCTCCTCTGCACCTGAGAGAAATATTCAAGCAAGTTAAGCTCTGATTTACAAAAAGATGACTATGTTGTCACCAAATCCACAGCTTAAGTATTATAACAGTCATTATCATCATGAAGACATGAAAAACAGGACATATGCACATTGGGAGTGTTTACACAAAATGCTCTCAAGTGGAACATGCCCCCAGAAATCCCATTGGCTTGCATTGCAAAGTAATGTTAAATAAAAAATATGAGGCATTGTGCTTCAAAATGCCCTAACTTGTATATCTCCAGAATCAATAGACCATATTTTACAAGGTGTGATAGAGTAGTGTCCATTTCAATGCATGGCTTTTGTGCAGAGTGCTCCAAAGTGGGGTATCCCCAGGTTTTGCATTGCTAAGCATCTGAAGACTTATGATCTGAGGATACTGCATCCCAAAGTAAGGTTTGGACCACCCTAATTTGTACATTCCTGGAATCATAACACCATGCCCTGGAAGGTGCTATAGAGTGGTACCCAGTCCAAAACTTATTTCTTTGTTTCAGCGTGCTCCAAACTGGAGTGGCCCGAAGAATCCCTCAGGACTGTATGGTTTGGTAGTTGAATAATAAGGAACTGAAGGCAGCTCTAATATGTTTGGCCTATGTTCTTGTTCTATAGACAGTTCAATGTGCTAGAGGGGTGAGTGTTTTTTTACTTGCTTTCAGCTGAGGGGATTCAGCTGAGGATATTGTGTGGGAGGACTGGGTTTGGAAGTGCGTGAAAGCGATTAGAGTTGTTGCAGAGTCCTGGCTGCTTGAGAGAGGCAGAGGAAGGGGCATTGTTTGACTGTGATTGGCTGTAATTCAGTATTTAAGAAAGCACCTTGCCAGAGGCATGAGCCGAAGGGTGAGCTAAAGGGCTCTTTGCCTGTGGATCTTAGCCTAGGGACTCTTAGACTAGGGGCTCTGTAAGAACCCTAAGAAGAGCCAGAAAGCCAAGGCCCTAGGCTCTTTGTCTTCCCCGTAAGGTAAGTTGACTTCAACAAGAAAAACTACATAAATACAAAGGGGGTTAAAAGGGGAGTCAGCACCCCGACCAGGAGGTCCAGCAGTGGGGTCAGGACACTAGAATCCCTCCCACTGTTGCCCCCCCCCCCAAGAATACAGAGCATCACTTGCCCCAGACTGAGAGTTCCTATCTATGCCTTGTGATTAATAGCCACTGATGGACCTCTGCTCCATATGTTTATCCAAATCCCTTTTGAAGCCGTCCATGCTTGTAGCCGCCACCACTTCGTGTGTCAGTGAATTCCATGTGTTAATCACTCTTTGGGTGAAGAAGTACTTCCTTTTATCCGTTCTAACCCAACCGCTCAGCAATTTCATTGAGTGCCCACGAGTTCTTGTATTGTGAGAAAGGGAGAAAAGTACCTCTTTCTCTACCTGCTCTATCCCATGCATAATCTTATAAACCTCAATCATGTCTCTCCTCAGTCGTCGTTTCTCCAAGCTAAAGAGCCCTAAGCACTTTAACCTTTCCTCATAGGGAAAGTGTTCCAACCCTTTTATCATTCGAGTTGCCCTTTTCTGCACTTTTTCCAAAGCTATAATATCCTTTTTAAGATGTGGTGACCAGAACTGCACACAGTATTCCAAATGAGGTCGCACCATTGATTTATATAGGAGCATTATGATATTGGCTGATCTGTTTTCAATACACTTCCTAATAATCCCCAGCATAGCATTGGCCTTCTTTATTGCAGTCACACACTGTCTCAACATTTTCAGTGAGTTATCTACTACAACTCCAAGATCTCTCTCTTGATCAGTCTCTGCCAGTTCAGACCCATCAATGTGTATTTATATTTAGGATTTTTGGCTCCAATGTGCATCACCTTGCACTTGGCCACAATGAACCCCATTTGCCATGTTGACGCCCACTTGCCCATCCTTGACAGATCCCTTTGGAGTGCCTCACAATCCTCCCTGGTTTTCACCACTCTGAACAACTTCGTAACATCCGCAAATTTAGCCACTTCACTCCTTACTCCCAACTCCAAATCATTAATGAACAAGTTAAAAAGCAATGGAC